TAACTCTCCCTAAAGATAACCCTCTCTGTAGCTGTAACACTACCCTCCCTGTAACCCCAACACTAACCATCTAAATAGCATTAACATCAACCCTCTCTGTCACCCTAACCTTAGCCCTCACATTTACATTGTTACATTGTCTGGTTGAAAAAAGTACACAAGTCCACCTAGTTCAGCCAATAAAAGGGAAAAAAATTATATAATCCTATATACACAATCCTATACCCACAGTTGATCCAGAGGAAGGCAAAAAATCCCAATAAAGCATGATCCGGTTTGCTCCAGCAGGGGAAAAAAACTTCCTTCCTGATGCCCCAAGAGGCAATTGGATATTCCCTGGATCAACTTTACCTATAATTATTAGTACCTAGCCTTTTTTAAATTGTGCTTATTTACTGGAGTGTTTTGGCCAAGATCATTCAGGCCTTTTTTAAAGCAATCTACTGATCTAGCCAGAACCTGCTGAGGGCATTATCAGAGTGTCTATTCCATCCATTTTCACAGCTCTTACTGTTAAGAAGCCTTTCAGTATTTTGGAGATTAAAAGATTAAATTTCTTTTCCTCCCGACGTAAAGAGTGTCTCCTTGTCCTCTGTGATGACCTTAAAGTGAAAAACCCCCAACATCAAGTTCATTTATATGGACCACCTTTTGCTTTATGTATTTTTACATGTTGATCAGATCACAATGAAAAGCGAGGGTGTTCATGAATAGGAAACCTATTCATGACAGCTAAAGCTATTGCTTATACAGAGCTCTTCACTGTATAAATAATACCATTATAAAAAAAAAAAAAGAGAGAGAGAACCCTGATCAACCCCTCAGAATAGTACAGTATCACTATGGTGACACTGAGCTACACCAATAACAGGATGTAAAAAAAAATGTTTAAAAAATTGTTAAAAAAATTTAGTATGTAAAAAAATAGTGAAAAAAATGTATTAAAATTCTTATTTTCCAAAAGATTGTGACAAAAAAAATTACAACTTTAAAAAAACTTGCCATGCCTCTTACTAAATACATCAGACTGTCTACTTTCAAAAAACGCTGTAATTTGGGAGCAGTTTTATGGCCTCAAGAAATGAGGTAGGCCATCATCAGTACATCAGGATTGATCAATTTTCAAATATATACTGTATACCATGTCCCTACTTTCAAAAAACGCTGTAATTTGGGCAGGTTTTATGGCAGAAATTTTATGCCAATTAGAAACTATAACTTTAATACAAGCCAATTAATATACACTTATTAGGATTTTTTTTTACATTTTACCAAAGACATGTTGCAGAATACAGTTTGACCAATATTTATGAATAAGTTTAATTTTTGTATTGGATATGTTTTATAACAGGAAGTAGAAAATACTGTTTTGGTTTTTTTTTCAAAATTGTCTGTCTTTTTCTGTTTATATAATAAAAAAAAGAGGGGAAATACCAACAGAAGAATGCTATTTTTGTGTGAAAAATTATATAACTTGAATTTGCGTACAGTGTTGCATGACCGAGAAATTGCCAGTTAAAGTAGCACAGTGCTGAATAGCTAAAAAAATGCCCTGATCATGAATGGGGTAAAACCTTCTAGAGCTCATTTGGTTTCTGGGCCTGTTCACAAGGTCCTATTACCCACTACCATGCAGGTCAATAAAATATTAGTTAGTTTGTTTGTTCATATACCTTGAAGGTGATATCTTAATATGTCCCACAACCACCTACCCATGTGGTCTAAAGCAGGCCATAATTTAATTAAAAAAAAAAAAAAAAAAGCTTTTGTATTTTGACAGAGGGAGTTTTCCCAGCTATCATAATACAATGAATACTTCCAGCTTCTATAGCCTCTGGCAGCGATCGAAGGAAAAACTCATCAAGCTTGTTGTGCTGAAGTTGATCGATGGATTGAATTCAGTACAACCAGCCTGTCCATACATGGACTGAAGTTCAGCCAGTCCCTGCTGAACAGGCTGAATTTCAATCCATCTATGGCCAGATTAGGATAAATAAAAAAAGCATTTGTTTCATTAAAATGTAAATAATGTGTTTTTGTTATGCATGATTAAAAAAATCTGAAGTGCTTTTTTCTCATAATGACTGATCATTCATCAGATATTGCAAAGAGTCAACATTTATAGGCAACAGTTTATTACACATGGAAAACCACTTCCTATCAGATGAAATGGTGATAAGTATTTTTTATACGCTTCTCTAGAGAATTTTCAAACCTTAAAGACCTTGGAGCACAGGAACAAGGAAACATTCCAAACAGGCCATTTTGATGATGTGTGACATGTTTTCTACTATCACGTGCCATAAAAAATCTCATAAATCAGCTGAAGTAGAAGAATTCCTTAACACCTTTTACTGTATTAATATACACTAAGAATTGTTAACATGCAGGTTTACTATATTTATTTTAATACAAATGTAATCCTTAATAATTAATCCTAAATGTATGTGCATCCAACCAAAGTTGTTTTAATTTAAAATGGTATTCTTACCTAATTGCCTATACAGTACGTTCTTGCAAATGCTATGATATATGTAACTAAATGCACTTTTTAAAGCATTGGTTCCCTGATTATCTGTCTCATTTTTGTCTCACCTAAGATTTTATTTGAGACATTGCAATTATCCAGCAACAGGGGTGGTCTAGCCCTTCCAGATTTAAAGATGTGTGACAGTGGGAGAATCTGTCACTATGAAAATGGCCAGGAAAAAGACAAAGTTTGCATGTCTGCTTAGTGCAGTGTTTCTCAACTCCAGTCCTCATGGACCTCCAACAGGTCATGTTTTCAGGATTTCCCTCAGATGAAACAGCTGTGGTAATTACTAAGGCAGTGAAACTGATCAAATCACCTGTGCAAAATAATGGAAATCCTGAAAACATGACCTGTTGGGGGTCCATGAGGACTGGAGTTGAGAAACACTGGCTTAGTGCAATGCTACAGAGCATAGATTTGGAGTGGAGAAAACTGCTTGTGCAGTTTTCTCTGGATGTGGGTATTGCTGGATGGGGCTCTGTAGTTTGGAGATTCCTAAGAGTCTTGGGAATCTCCAACCCTGTGTCCGGGTGTTGTGAACAACCAGCAGGGTGTGCCCAGGTGCACACAACCCTTATAACAATGGCCTTATTAGAGCAGGTAGTAGTGGAGATGGAATAGTAGTGGCTACTGCTGCAAGCCTGAAACAGGGCCCTATCAGGAGAGCTGGAAGCAGGGGAGGACTGACAACTCATGGGGCCCCCAGGCAATAGGGAATCATGGGGCCCCTTAGTCCTTGCCCAAACGCAAAAAAAGCCTATGAAAAAGGTACCAGGGGCATCTCATGGGGCCCCCTACTGACCCCGGGCAGTGCCCAAGTTTCCAAAATGGTCAGTCCGTCCTGGTTGGAAGGGCCTGCAACCCTTGTGAGGGGGATTCTGGGCCCAAGGACTGAGAAAGTCTGGCCAGCTATGAGAGTCTGGGAGGCTGAGGAAGCTGCAGAGACCAGTGAGTCCAAGGGCCTAGAGGGAATCCATGAGTCTCTGGAGGAAGCAAGCTAGGGTACAGGGAAAACTCTGTCAAGAGGCCATGTGGGGCCTGAACAGCAAGGCGCTGTTGCCTAGGCTGAGATCCTGCTTAGTCAGTGTCTCGGAGGTCAAGCCAAGCAGAGGTACTGCTAAACACAGAGCCAGGTGGCTTGGCATTTTCACTGTGTATTATTTTAAGTGAAGTTGAAACCCCCTGCGTGGGAAACCTTGTGTCAAAAGAACTTTTCAGTTACTGTTTAATAAAGTGGGCTACCCGGCCCTTTATTTTAGTTCCTGTCTGGCATAAACTCACTTAAAAACGCATATACCACTGAGCTAAGCATCCCCCACATTACAAATGTATTATCTTGTTTTTGCCTTTGAGTAACACAGAAATGGTGGTGGAAGCGGCCATAGCTAACTCCTATGAAACTCTTATAAACTCACTTTATAGGTAGGGATTTCCATGAGTAAGGGGGCACAGATATTCTACTTGTCATAGAAAATATTTGCTCTTTGCTCTAAAATGATCTGAGATATGATACTTCTTACTCCACGAACCCAGTCTTCTAATGCCATTATAGTTTCATTCATATTTGGGAGAATTCTTTTAAATGGGCTCAGTATGACATTAAATATTTATTTCATGTATTACAGATACTTATATAACACCATCAGTTTACATAGCACTTTATATATATATATATATATATATATATATATATATATATATATATTGTACATTCACATCAGTCCCTAACCCTCAAGGGGCGTACAGTCTAAAGTCCCTAACTTACATTTACATTCATACACATACTAGGGACCATTTAGACAGGATGCAATTAACCTACCAGCATGTCTTTGGAGTGTGGGAGGAAACAGTAGTACCTGGAGGAAACCCACAGACACAGGGAGAACATGCAAACTCCAGGCAGGTGGTGCCGTGGCAGGGATTGCAAACCAACGACCCTAGTACTGCCAGACAGAATTGCTAACTATTTAGCCACTGTGATGCCATCACCTTTACAAAGATGGCAATATTAAATTCTTTAAGGAGTTAAAATCTGAACCTAGGGTCCCTGTTTGCTGGTCTAACAAGTGTATTCAAATGAAACATACAGCTGCAAGACAATTTGGGACAGGGGACAAGAATTTATCTACCACTAAGCTGGAGTTGCTTCTTTTATCTCCAGATCATAATAAACTGGTATAGATATTATGCCTCTTTGATTCTAATGATGAACATTGCTGGAATAAGTAGACTGCTATTATGTCAGAACTATCAGATCATGCCTGGACAGAAGTGTTAACTACCTATTTGAATACGATGTTATCATCTAAAGATAAAATGATACAGTTGAGATACAATACCTACACTAGACTTATTTTACGGCTCTATGGTTAAAATGGGGGAAAAAAAGATAATTCCCAGGGCTTAAAATTTCAAGTCCTGAGCTACTAGCCAGGCCTTAGAGTTACTCGCCACCAACAACACACACACAAACAGAGACACCTGTACACACACACAGACATGTACATACAGACTCAGAAACATGTACACATACAGACACATGTATACACACACAGGCACGTACAGACACGCATACACACACATACATGTCCATACACAGAAATACACATGCAGAGACACATGTACATACATACACAGACACATATACACACAGACACATGTACACACACACATACATGTACATACACGTAGACACATGTACAGATACACACATGTACATACACACAGACACATGTACAATTGTACATGCACACACAGACACACACACCCCCCCTCCCCCATAAAAAGTTGTGATACTTCGTTGTTCACTCACAGATCCGGGTACTGCACTCTAGGGGGAGGCAGAGAGCACAGCACACACTCCTTGCTTTGCTTTCACTGCGCTCAGCTATTGAGCAGTCTGACCGCTCCCAGTGCCAATGACAGATCCGGCCTGAGCTCCGAGACTGCTCAGCAAGACAGCCCTGGGGACACACTCGCCCCCACCATAATTTCCAATCGCCATTGGCGAGCAGGCAAGTGGAAATTTCAAGCCCTGCTTTATGTTATAAATGTCGGAGAACACATAGGATGTGTAACGGAACTGACCCCAGACTGCGCTTGGGTACTTCCATTAGACTACCGCTTCCCCATCCGAAAACCAACAACAGACACCACAGCTGACCATACAAGACTAGACAACACCAGTCTTGAAGTAAACAAGGTGGTAGACCTTTTTTTTTAACACAGTTGCAAGATATATACACTTAGGGGACAATCCCCCCTCCCTGCATAATGACACAGGGCAGGGCAATCTACATTTAGTAACAAGAGACAAACAGGTATTCAAACTTCACACCAGCTGCTGGAGACCCCCCCCCCCCCCCCCCCCCCCCCCCCACTAAGCTAATACACATAAACACATACATCCCATAATAGTTTGCTCCCAAGCAAGACAAACAATAGAACAATGGGATGCAACCACATGACAAACAATCAACAACCCCCACACAATATTAGAACAGCTCACCCTGTACTCCTAGCAGGCACAAGGTGACTTACACATAATAGAGATATGGGGAGCTAAGACAGGGGTCTCCCCACTTCTCCAAAGTGAGCTGGGTTCCATGGACCCCCACCCATAGTAACTCCCGTCACAGGATGTTTATGCATATGGTGTGGGAATGTGATAGGATTCAGCCCTTCTGGTTACAAGTCACTAATTTTATTGCAGATAAATTTCATCCTAAACAATGTCTGTAAACCTTTATTATGCTTATTGGAGATTGTTGAGGATGGGGTAATGGATAACAGCACTAAAAAGTTCCTTAGACTACTATTTTGGCAATGGATACACCCTGACCAATTTATTGTCACAGCCTGGTAAAAAAATTATTAATGCAGATATATCATTATGCAGCTACAGGACATCTAAAAATGTGAGAACATTTGGTTTAGATTGGTAGACTCACAGGGAACATTGTGGATTATTTAAATGAAACAGATAGGGAGGAGGTTTAAGCACATACCCAGTGTCACCTTGTGTGGTATTTTGTTGCGGGTGACTTGTAACCATGGTAAATACCTCTCAATGATGCATAGAAAAGAACTGAAGATACTAAAAAAAGGGTTATGTTTCAGGAACACTGCACTCCAGGATGTCAATTTTCACGTTTATTGGTTGTTAAAATAGCGCCTTATAATTATCATAATGGAAATAATGTTTACAATACTGAAAAAGAAAACCTTGTATGCTTGCTGTTGTGTACAAGGTTAGCGTTGAAGCTTTTCATAAGTACTGCTGTAGACCTTGTACTGCCATAATGTACAGTCATCTTTTGTATACATCTGTATGGCAATAAAACTCTTAAAAAAATTTTTCATTAAAATAGTAACAATAAAGTAACAATACAGCTGAAAACATAATGGAATGCTAGCCTAAAACTAAAGATTGGATCTTTTAGGTGATATCCCAGGTGATATTAGTAGTGATGCCCATAGCTGGGACTCAATTCAATATTATGGGTTACCATTCCAGAACCACTATATGCTCCAAAAACCTTAAATACAGCATCTTAAAGTTATATCCACCACACTCCTATGTTAATACCTAATATTTTAGTGTTGTGATTGTTTCTATAGTATCAGAGAGGTTCAATAGCTATGTATACATGTGGGGAGAGGTCCCACATTAAAGTGGTTTTAAACATAGAAGGCGTTTTACCTTAATGCATTTTTGCAAAAAAAGTTTGTGTGTGCAGCTCACACCCCCAGCCCCTTTATACTTATCGGAGCTTGATCTTGATCCTGTGCTGTGCCTAAGAGCAACTGCTCTCTCCCTCCTCACTGGATATGAAGGCAGCAGCGGGAGCCATGGGCTGCTGTCAATCACAGCCTGTGAGGAGAGAGTGTGGGGTGGGGCCAGCTTGCGGGACCACAATCTAGGTGCCAGTAGCCTGAGAACGATTGTCACTGGGGTAGGTTTATTAAGCAATTACCCTTCAAACTGCCACCAGATCGCTTTAGGCCTATCAACCCTTTACAATGTTAGCAAGAGCAAATGTGAACAATAAGGGGTTTATTTACTAAAGCTGGAGAGTCCAAAATCAGACTCCCTTCTGCATAGAAACCAATCAGCTTCTAACCTCAGCTTGTTCAATGAAGCTTTGGCAATGAAACCTGGAAGCTGATTGGTTTCTATGCAGAAGTGAGTCTGATTTTGCACTCTCCAGCTTTAGTAAATAAACCCCTAAATGTCTAACACACACTGTCACCACGGACACTCTTCAAGAGACAGAGATTCTTTAGTTTGCATTACAAGCCTTACAGGTAGTTTTAACACTTTACCAAATAGGGTTTATCATCGCTTAAACATTACAAAGAATATAACAGAATATGCAAAAATGAAATAAAGACCGCAAAATTGAAAACGAACGACAAATTGTAAAAGATAGCAGGACCAACCCCAAAAAATTCTTCAAATATATTAATAGTAAAAAGGTCCGGCCCGATCATGTAGGCCCTTTACGAAATAATGTAGAGTGGGTGACTGGGGACAAAGAAGGCAAATTTTATTAAATACCTTCTTCAGCTCTGTGTATACAAAGGAGCATGGGGGAGCTCCATAATGGGCATGGTATTGACACAGCTCCAGATGATCCACATTGGCGCACAACTGATATGATCCAGAAATATTTACACAGAATAAAGGTGAATAAAAGCACCTGGACCAGATGGCATACACCCACGGGTCCTTTTAAAGTGGAGTTGCAGCTGAATAAAAAAAATAAAAATCAGCAGCTACAAAAACTGTAGCTGCTGACTTTTAAAATACAGCCACTACCTGTCCCTCGATCCAGTGGTGTCCTCACCACCACTGGTTACAATCGGAGTCTTCTTTCTCTGGCATTGGCATATTTAGTGTGGGCACCCGGCTGTGACAGCTTGTGGCTTCACAGCTGGGTGCCCACTGTGCATGCGCAAGAAGCGCTGCACTTTTTGAATGGCCCCGTAGTCTTCTGGGATGTGATCCAAAAATATTTTGAATAAAAGTGAATAAAGCACCTGGACCGGATGGCATACACCCACGGTTCCTTAACAAATTGAGCTCTGTCATCTCGAAGCCATTGTTTCTAATTTTTAGGGACTCTTTAATGACTGGCATAGTACCACTGGATTGGCATAAGGCCAATGTGGTGCCAATATTTATAAAAGTGTCAAAATCTTTACCAAGTAATTATAGACCTGTTAGTTTAATTTCTATAGTTGTGAAGATACTGGAGAGTTTAATAAAAGACCACATAGATGAGTTTTTGCTGGAAAAAAATATTTTAAGCAGCAGACAGCATGGATTCATGAAAGACAGAAGTTGTCAAACAAATCTGATTTCTTTTTATGAGGAGGTGAGCAAAACCTTGGACAGAGGGGTGGTGGTGGACGTGGTATACTTGGACAGAGGGGTGGTGGTGGACATGGTATACTTGGATTTAGCAAAAGCATTTGACACAGTTCCCCACACACGGCTAATTTGTAAGGTAAAGTCTATTGGCTTGGAAAATCCGTATGTAAATGGGTAGAAAACTGGCTAAAAGATCGTATTCAGAGAGTAGTGGTTAATGATTCATACTCTGCATGGTCTAGGGTTGTCAGTGGTGTACCCCAAGGTTCAGTGTTTGTGATCCTTACTTTTTACAATATTTATAAACAATATAGGGTCTGGGATTAGAAATCCCATTTCAGTCTTTGCAGATGACACCAAGCTGTGCAGTGGAATAACGTCCTTACAGGATGTCTTCATTTTACAAGCTGACCTCAATGCACTGTGTAATTGGGCAACTATGCGGCAAATGAAGTTTAATGTTGATAAATGTAAGGTTCTGCACTTGGTGGCTAAGAATATGCATGCATCATACATACTAGGGGGGGTACAACTGGGGGAATCAATGGTGGAGAAGGATCTGGGGGTTATGGTAGATTACAAGCTTAATAATGGCATGCAATGCCAAGCTGCGGTTTCTAAAGCGAGCAAAATCCTCTGTTGTATTAAAAGAGGTATAGACTCCAGAGAGAGAGATATCATATTACCCCTGTACAAATCATTAGTAAGACATCTTCTGGAATATGCAGTTCAGTTTTGGGCACCAATTCACAAAAAGAACATTGGGGAACTGGAGAAAGTACAGAAAAGGCAACCAAACTGATAAGAGGCATGGAGGAGCTCAGCTATGAGGAAAGATTAGAGGCACTTAATTTATTCTCTCTTGAGAAGAGGAGATTAAGGGGGGATATGATCAACGTGTATAAATACATCAGTGGTTCATATAGTGAACTTGGTGTAGAGTTATTCACCCTGAGGTCATCACAGAGGACAAGGGGCACTCTTTACATCTGGAGGAAAATAAATGTAATCTCCAAACACGGAAAGGTTTCTTCACAGTGAGAGCTGTGAAAATGTGGAATAGACTCCCTCAAGAGTTGGTTCTGGCCAGCTCAGTGGATTGCTTTAAAAAAGGCCTGGATTCTTTCTTGGATACACAGAATATAACTGGTTACTAACATTTTTAGGTAAAGTTGATCCAGGGAATATCTGATTGCCTCTTGGGGGATCAAACAGGAATTTTTTTCCCCTGCAGGAGCAAATTGGATCATGCTTTGCTGGGGTTTTTTGCCTTTCTCTAGATCAACTTGGGTATAGGATTATAACTTTTTTTTTTTTTTTTTTAATGGTTGAACTGGATGGATTTGTCTTTTTTCAGCCAGACTAACTATGTAACTATGTTTATTAATGAAAAGGTCAAATGGTGCAATTTAAAATATTTATAGAAAAGGATGTTACAAAGACATAAAAGAGAACAATAATGCAACAGAGAAATAAAAGGAGGTGAAAATGGAGAATACTTGCAAAGTCCTGCTTTTAGCAGAGTCTAATTGTCCAAGCAAAAGGGGTGTGGACAGAGACCAACTGACCAATCATCCAGTTTAAGGGATGGGTGCTTATAGGTGACCAAGTTTATGATCAAGTTCCAAATACAGTTTTATACTAATATTAATAACTTCCAATGT